GCTGTTCCACACAGAAACAGAAGATCTCCTTTCTCGAGAACAACCTGGAACAGCTCACAAAAGTTCACAAACAGGTCAGGAAGAACAACCAGATCCCGGAAATCTGTTGCATGCAAAAAAAATCTCTGTTTCCACTAATAATGCAATGTTAATTGTATTATAATAGCCTCATTTACATATCTAAAGGATGTCAGAGAGATATGTGACCTTAAGTCTTAAGTCGCTGGGGTATATTTGTAGCAATAGCCAACAATACATTGTATGGGTCAAAATTATAGATTTTTCTTTTATGCCAAAAATCATTAGGATATTAAGTAAAGATCATGTTCCTTGAAGATATTTTGTAAATCTCCTACCGTAAATATATCAAAACTTAATTTTTGATTAGTAATATGCATTGCTAAGAACTTCATTTGAACAACTTTAAAGATGATTTTCTCAATATTTAGATTTTTTTTGCACCCTCAGATTCCAGATTTTCAAATAGTTGTATCTCGGCCAAATATTGTCCTATCCTAACAAACCATACATCAATGGAAAGCTTAGCTTTCAGCTTTCAGATGATGCATACATCTCAATTTCGAATAATTGACCCTTATGACTGGTTTTGTGCTCCAGGGTCACATATATAAACACATATTCATCTCTCACCTCTCGCTCAGCTGGTTCGTGATAACGCAGATCTGCGCTGCGAGCTTCCGAAGCTGGAGAAGCGTCTTGGTTCTACGGCGGAGCGGGTTCGAGCGCTGAGAGAAGCCAAAGAAGGAGCCATGAAGGACCACCGGCGCTACCAGCAGGAGGTCGAGCACATTAAAGACGCCATGAGCGGCAGAAACATTTTCAGACGGCCTCACGCTGCGCTCATCGGTCAGTGCAGCTCCCACGAAGTAGCTTTCATTTTATTTCGCTATACATTTTTCTTACATTTCAGCATAACTATGTCATGATATATAACGTTACTATAAAATATTGATGCTTCCTCATACCTTGAAATAAGATGCAATATTTTAAATATTAAGATTTAAAAATAAAAATGCATATAAAAATTATTTATTAAATTACTAAGCAATATTAACCATTATTATTATTAAATATGTTTGTATGATTAATTGTAATATATTAAATATATTGAAATATTATATTATAATTACTGAATATGATTAAAATTGTAATTTCATAATTTATTACATTTCTAAAAAGATTATTAAATATATTTCATAACATATTATAAATCTAATATAAATAATATATAAATAAATAATTATTAAAAGCATTACTAAATATACTAAGTAATGCATTAAATATATTAATAATATATTATAAATAAAAAATTATGAATATAATTATAATATTAGTACATTTTATAATTTTATAAATCATTTATTAAATTACTAAAAATATTAAACATGGGTTAGGGTACATTAAATACATTATACACATTAAATATGTTTTCTAATAAATGTATAATATCATATTATATAATAATATTATTAAATGCTATAATTGTATAATTTATTAATTTACTAAAAATATTAAACATGATTAGAAATGCATTAAATATATTTCATAACATATTTATAATATCATAAATCTAATTATAATTTTATAATTGTATAAATAATTTAGAAATAAATCATTACTAAATGCTTTATTAAATATATTAAATAATGCATTAAATATATTAATAATTAATATATTATAAATAAGAAATTATGAATATAATTATAATATTAGTACATTTTATAATTTTATAAATCATTTATTAAATTACTAAAAATATTAAACATGGGTTAGGGTACATTAAATACATTATACACATTAAATATGTTTTCTAATAAATGTATAATATCATATTATATAATAATATTATTAAATGCTATAATTGTATAATTTATTAATTTACTAAAAATATTAAACATGATTAGAAATGCATTAAATATATTTCATAACATATTTATAATATCATAAATCTAATTATAATTTTATAATTGTATAAATAATTTAGAAATAAATCATTACTAAATGCTTTATTAAATATATTAAATAATGCATTAAATATATTAATAATTAATATATTATAAATAAGAAATTATGAATATAATTATAATATTAGTACATTTTATAATTTTATAAATCATGTATTAAATGACTAAAAATATTAAACAAGGGTTAGGGTACATTAAATACATTATACACATTAAATATATTTTCTAATAAATTTATAATATAATTTATTAATTTACTAAAAATATTAATTTAGAATTATTACTTTTAGAAGATTAGAAATGCATTAAATATATTTTCTAATAAATTTGTAATATCATATTATATCATAAAATGCTATAATTGTATAAATAATTTATTAATTTACATTATTAGAAATGCATTAAATGTATTTCATAACATATTTATAATTTTATAAATACGTGTTATATTATAATGTAATAATAATATTATTCAATTTTATAATGCTATTTTTTGTCCTCAGCCAAACCGATTCGCCCAGGACATTACCCCGCCTTCTTATCAGCCAATCACATGTTCACGCGCAGCAGGGATCAGCCAATCACCTTCAGCAATGAGATGTTCAACAGCGCCACTGAAAAGCCCAAAACCACGAAAACAGAGTTCAGTTTCACCAACAAGTGAGTATGAATGTTTCTGGCTCATGTTTGACTGAATTGTGGGTATGATGTGTGTTTGTTGGTCATGTTAACAGAACGCTGCCAGAGAACGAGAGACACATGAACGCCACACACAAACTCAACATCACCAACGGTAAACACACTTCCCTGACAACAACTCTTTACTTTTATTACCTGAATAAAATGTTATCGCTCAGAAGATGCTCTTTCCAGTTTATGGGTCCAATCGGTGAAAAAATGGCTGCATGGGACCTGATTGGAACATCCACAGATGCTATAATGTGTCTGTTTTCCAAATAAAAAGATACATTTAGAATTTCACAGTGCTGTAAATGTAAATGAACTCAAATAGATCACAGAATCTTTAATACAGGCATTTTAACACATATTCATTCTTATTTGACCAGGAAATGCCACAGATGTGAATGAAAACAGGTGAGCATGTAACGGAAAGTTTACCGTTTACTGTAATTAATAAGTTCATACTCTAATTATGTTTTCTGATGTAGTGTGTCACGATGAGCCATCTGACGATCTCGAGCACAAACACAAGCTTCACGAGCAGCATGCCGCCAGCTAAACACACACACACGCACGCACGCACACACATACACACGCACACACACACACTCTCACACACGCACACACACACACACACACACACTCACGCACTCACACGCACACACACGCACACACACACACACACGCGCACACACGCGCACACACACACGCACACACGCACACACACACACACACACACACTCACGCACTCACACGCACACACACGCACACACACACACACACGCGCACACACGCGCACACACACACGCACACACGCACACACACACACACACACACACACACACTGGCAGACAGCCGGTGAGATCGGAAGTTGGCTGTCAGAGTTTAATAAAGACACACACACACACACACACACACACACACATATGGGTAACAAATTAATCTCATGCTGTTTCTCTGCCTGGTTTTAAAAGAGATTCTGCGCATCTTAAGTCACATCTGCCGAATGTGAATAATGCTGGTGAACTTGATGATGGACTCGTGGATGTGTGTTAGAATTGGTTTTATGTGATGCATTATGGACAAACAGGCCTGTCGCAGAGCTTGCTATTAAATATGTTTCAGTAAAGAGAATCCAGTCTATGAATACCTGTGTTTTTTTAATTCAACAGTGCATTTATACAATGCATTGATGAATGGATCCATGCAAATGAGCTGATATTCTAATGAAAACAAATGGTAAATTCATCATGAAATATAAATTCTTATTATATATCTGTTGCAGAACTTCCCATTAAAACGTTTAAATTAAATTAAATGAAATCAAATCAAAATAAATTAAATGAATAATTTAATATAATTTAATAATGCATTTATACAATGCATTAATTATAGATAATGCAAATCAGCTGATATTCTAATGAAAACAAATGCTAAAATAATCATAAAATATAAATTCTTATTATATATCTGTTGCAGAACTTCCCATTAAAACGTTTAAATTAAATTAAATTAAAAACGTAATATAATTTAATAATGCATTTATACAATGCATTGATTAAATTAAATTTAATTTACTTTAGTAATGCATTGATGAATGGTTCCATGCAAATTAGCTGATATTCTGATGAAAACAAATGCTAAAATCATTATAAAATATCAATTCTAATTATATATCTGTTGCAGAACTTGCCATTAAAAGTTCAAAATTCAATTAATAATTGCATTCAATAATGCATTTATACGATGTATTGATTACAGTAAATAAAAAATTTAATTAAATAATTTACTTTAATAATGTATTTATACAATGCATTTATGAATGGTGCCATGCAAATTAGCTAACATTCTAATGAAAAACAAATATATATATATATATATATATATATATATATAGTTATAGAATATACTGTAGTTAAAAGAATATAGTTATACATGAATAATCAACAACTGATAAACAGAAGTCAACGGTTCTCCAAAAATATGTAAAAAACGTGAACGTCATTTATTGGATCAAGTGTCCATATCTGAACCTGTGTCATTCAAATAATAGTAATAAACAAAAAAAAAAAATAATGCTATCATCTCTCTAACTGAGAAATAAAGGTAATTTAAGGACGGGTCAATGTCTAAACAAGTCAACAAGTGCAATGCTTCTGACCTACAAGCGCACGAATGATTAGAATGTGTGATTAGAGAATGGCTGTGATCATGTCTAAGTCATACACATATTCATGCACATATGACGAGCGATGGTTACTGTTGTGTTATTATGAGATGAGCGCGGGGTCAGCAGGGCAGAATGAGTGTCTAAACAGATCGATAGTGCTGTGGAGCTGAACGCTGACACATTGATGACATGAAGGAGCAAAGCTCAGATATAAACACACGTACAGTCAGCGCTGACAGAAACACGGACGCTCAGCTGACGGTGAGTAGCCATCGGCATTCTGTATCTTCTGGATAAATAAGATTCATATTCAGTGATTAATATGATATTAGTACAGATTTAAGGCGTGTTATAGGAGACTTTCTTACTTTTAATGCATATTAATAAAGGCAAATCTCACAAAATCGGTCAAAAACATGTCCAGGTCATTGTTATATTATATTATATTATATTATATTCATATATATTTGTTTATTTTATTTTATTTTATTTTATTTTATTAGTTTAGTTTAGTTTTTTATTTTATTTTAAATTAATTTATTTATTTAAATAAATAAAAAAGAAGGAAAACTTATTTTGTTTACATGTTGATATTTTCATGATAATCACATTTCCTCCCACATTATTATAAATAATAATAATAATAATGAAATATTTGTAATTGTAGTGTTTATAGATCATGGTGCTATTTACAGCACTGCCATTAATTTGTGATGATTTAAATAAAAAATTGTATTAAAGTAATTTTTACTTGAAAAGTAAAACTATTACAGTAAGTGAGAGCAATAAGAATAAGTGATTCATCATTGAGAATAATAAAATTAAAATAAAATTAAAAAATAATAAGCATTTATAGTAAAGCATTTTCTTTATGCTTTATTTTATGTCTAAACATTTACGTAATCAATTTCTTTCTTGCTGATTTTGGGGTGAAATATGAGCCAGACATGTTTTATGAGATTTATTCATGACCTTCTTACAAATACTTTAATGTAGCAGATTTGTTATGATGATTTCTTAACTAAAATTGTAAAGACGACGCATTCAATTCATCAAGTCAGAGATTCCTTGACATTTAATAGATTTCTTCATGAAGTGAGTTTTTGAAGTCATCAGATGTGAACTGTACGTCAGTGTGACTAACCCAGCTCTTATCAGCATTTACTGCTAATATTTATTATATTTAAGTCTGATTATTCATGGCACTGCTTTATCTCTGACGTGAAGTCATATGTGAGCAGCAGAATGCAACACACATTACCTGAGATACACGCGGTAAACACGCGGTAAACACGCGGTAAACACATACGGTACAGTGGCAGAGGTTACTGTCGGTCATGAATCTGTGTGTTGTGTGAAACGAACAGACCCGTCCTCAGTCAAACATTACCACGGTTTACATTCAGTTGGGTAACCTAGTTTAGTTTCGAACACAGGTAACTTTAGGTCAACTCATAACAGCAGGGGTCAAAAGGTCATGATGCATTAGAACATACATGTTGTCTGTGTAACACTATGCAACACTAACAAATAAGTGTATTTAACGGACCCTTTTCACATTTCCAGGGTTATCAAAAGTGGAAGTCGCCATAGTCAGGAAAACTTTTATGGTATAACAGAAACTATAACAAATATAGTTGCATTCTCATTTGCTCCAAAAGAAAAAGACAAAATCCACTATTGAGTTTCTGACTTTCTTGAAGAAAACATATCAAGAGATTGGAAACACTCAAAAAACAGCGTTAACTAGTTTACTTAAATTTAATGCAAAGGTAATAAAACACAGAATATAGTTTTATAAATGTACATTAAATTTTGAAACTTCATCAGTCTGTGAAAAAGGTCCGTTATCAAATTAAATGTATATGTAATATATGCAAATGTATATATTACATCTTTAATGCATATATAAAGTAAATATCAAATTAAATCAAATAAATTACTGCTATGCATTTGTGTGTGTGTTATTTATTATCAAATAACTAATGTATGAAATATATGTCAATGTATACACATGTAATTACACGTAATTACACATTTATGTCTGTGTGTGTATATATATATATATACACACACACAGACACAGACATAAAAAGCATTTAATACATATAACTTAAATATATTAATATTTAATTATTTATTTAGATATTAATATATAGCATTTACATATCATTATCATACATTATCATATCTACATGATATTTAGCAATTATTTTTACAATTAAATCAGATTAATTACATATATAATTTCTCAAATGTGTTCTGTTCTGTTAGGGTTGATGTCAACAACTTTTCAAGTTTCACAAATTACATTTTATTCTGTAGCTTTTTAGACCAGCATCAATATTCTGGTGCTTTAAAGACTCCAGAAACCAAACTCCTGATCTGTACTGATACAGAACCAGCAACTTCAAAACTATCAGCATCCAACAACATGATCTGCATGTGTTTCTTTGACATTTCACCAGGATTTGATCAACTAAAACAGACAGAGAAATCATGTCGACTCGTGACACGAATAACACGGCGGTGCATCGCACCAGAGGACGAACAGAAAGCCAGCGTCCCGCAGAGAATGGCTCAATAAGAAAGCGTGAGTCTGATCCGAACCTGTCCTGACTCTATCCTGACTCTATCCTGACTCTGTCCTGCTGACTCTGTCCTGCTGACTCTGTCCTGACGCTGTCCTGACTCTATCCTGACTTTATCCTGACTCTGTCCTGACTCTATCCTGACTCTATCCTGACTCTGTCCTGACTCTATCCTGACTCTATCCTGACTCTATCCTGACTCTGTCCAGCTGACTATGTCCTGCTGACTCTGTCCTGCTGACTCTGTCCTGACTCTGTCCTGACTCTGTCCTGCTGACTCTGTCCTGACTCTGTCCCTCTGTCCTGACTCTATCCTTCCTGCTGACTCTGTCCTGACTCTATCCTGACTCTGACCTGACTCTGTCCTGCTGACCCTATCCTGACTCTGTCCTGCTGACTCTGTCCTGCTGACTCTGTCCTGACTCTATCCTGACTCTGTCCTGCTGACTCTGTCCTGACTCTGTCCTGACTCTATCCTGACTGCATCCTGACTCTGTCCTGACTCTATCCTGACTGTCTTCTGACTCTGTCCTGCTGACTCTATCCTGACTCTGTCCTGACTCTGCTCTGACTCTGTCCTGCTGACTCTATCCTGACTCTGTCCTGACTGTCTTCTGACTCTGTCCTGCTGACTCTATCCTGACTCTGTCCTGACTCTGTTCTGACTTTATCCTGCTGACTCTATCCTGCTGACTCTGTCCTGACTCTATCCTGACTCTGTTCTGACTCTGTCCTGACTCTATCCTGACTCTATCCTGACTCTGTCCTGACTCTGTCCTGACTCTATCCTGACTCTGTCCTGACTCTGTCCTGCTGACTCTGTCCTGCTGACTCTGTCCTGACTCTGTCCTGACTCTGTCCTGCTGACTCTGTCCTGACTCTGTCCTGACTCTATCCGGACTCTGTCCTGACTCTGTCCTGACTCTATCCTGACTCTATCTTGACTCTGTCCTGACTCTGTCCTGACTCTATCCTGACTTATCAGTGTAAATGACTGCTCTATTCAGTGTCTCTGTCTGTCTGCAGATGATAATCACACAAATATGAGCGATGCAACACTTAGAAATGAAGACATGGAGGTGAGACACTTTCAAAAATAATGATATACTGTAGAATTTTAATTGCAATATTTTTATGCCATGTTTGTATTTGCTGTACTTCCTTTAATTTAGGAAGATTTAAATGAAAAAAAAAAAAATGTATTTAAGTAATTTTACAGATTCATTAATGTTTTAAATAATTTAATAATTCAGCTTAAACTAATTTAATAATTTAATAAATTACTTTAATAATTTTGTGTTTAGATCCGCTTAAATTAATTTAGTAAAATTAATATTTTTTTCATTTAAATAATAAATTACAGATTGTTTTAATGATTTTTAAAAATTCTAAGTTGAAATTAATGAAATAATTTAATAAAATTAATTTGACACATTTTTCATTTAAATCAGCTTAATTTAATAATTTATTTAATTTTTTAAATTTAAAACAACTTAATTTAGTAAAATTAAATTAATACCTTTTTGCCATTTAAACCAGCGAAAAATTAATTTATTAAAATTAATTTAATAATTTTTTCCATTTAAAACAGCTTAAAGTAAAATATCATGATGTATGAATGCAGCAATACAAATGATCAAATAAAATATCATGATTGTTTGAGAAAATGTTACGAAAACAGTATCAAAATATACAAAATACAAAAATGGTCTTAAAATGTCTTAACTAAATATATTTTCTTTCTTTTTTAGACTGGGTTATGTCTTTTAGATAAAATTAATTGAATAATTAATAAACTTACTTTTACTAGTAATTTCATCTAAAATAAGCAAACAAACAGCAACAACAACAACAATAACAATGCATAAATAATAATACTAATAAAAAATAAATAAATAAATAAACACATGATAACCCAGTCTAGGGTGGTTTGTTGGCCTCAGACTGAGCAGTTAAAAATGCCAAACCCTCTTAGACCAGCACAGACCAGCTCCACTAGAACGCTTCTTGATGCCGTGACTCTGATGTGTTTGTGATCAGAGGATGAAAGCGGAGCTGATCCGACACGTTCAGTCCCGTCTGAATGAGCTGCTGGAGCGAGCGCTGTCAGACTCCATGCAGTCGCTCTGCAGGAACACACACACACACCCGGATCACACACACACCCACGACAGGTGAGCGCCTCTGTGATGTCACTTCCTGCCAGGCAACTTGAATTCTGAAGGAGGTTTGAATGCGCATCCAGTATCTCTTGGTTTTCAGGCACAAACCGGATCAGGGGAAGGTGTTTGTGGCCCGGTGCTCCTTGCTGGAGTGAGTATTAATACTGCTGCTTACTCACTGGAGACTCATTAGTCATTCAGTGGAGAGTACTACCCTAGCAACCACATAGCAACCACCCGAAAGACTTATCTCACTATCTTACGTATCTCATGAAAAAGAACATAAAAGATGAATAGCCTAGTTTACATTTACATTTATTAATATAACAGATGCCTTTATCCAAAGTGACTTAAAAAATAGGAAAAATAAAAATACAAGGAATTGCTGCGATTCGAACTTTAAAAATGTACCAAAAGACTTCACTGAATTATTGATTGATTGATTAGTATTTTAATGATGAATTAAAAAAATACACTGAAATAATCTGTCAATAATTGCTGCAAATCAAACTTAAAAAAATTACCAAAAGACTTCAGAGGATTTTTTCTACATTTATTTGTGTCTTTGTTTGTTTGTTTTTTGTATTTGAATGATTAACTAGTATTATGAATATTAATTTTATTGTATCATTATAATAATATTATTGTATAATTATATCTACAAAAAAGCCAAAAGACTTCAAATTCAGAGCAAATAGTTTTGTTAAAGAAATTGAATGATAATGTAATTAATATTATTAATATTATTTAATATTAATATTTAATATATTTATATATGTAATATTATTAATATAATTTGCAATTAAAAAAATGCCAAAATACTTCAAATTCAGAGCAGATTTTAAAAAATGTATTTTAACGGTAAATTAATATTATGAATATTAATTTTCTTGTATAATTATATTAATATTATTGTTAATTATAGCTGCAAAACTTCAGACATTTGATGAATTGGACGTTTTAAAGCTTTGTTGCAATTCAACATTTAAAAAAGGCCAAAAGATGTCAAATTCAGAGCAAATTTTCTTCTTAACTGTTTTTTT